AAACCTACTAAATTTCTACAGTTTCACACAGCCACACCCTTTAGTAGAAGATATAAAAATCAACTGACACATGCAAAAGCATTTTTAGTAAGACAATCATATAACAACTACTGAATTTGGTTTAAATATCTACAGTTAAAATAACCATATCTGAAATAAAAAGGGTTAGAAGAATGACACTAGCAATGGCATAAGGAGAGCATTCAACACAAGAAGAACAGATGAGTGCACCTAATATGTAAGTACAGTACACGCTGACATGGTAGTAGTATACAGAAAAATTATATTCATTTTGCCTTTCCATTTGAATGTACTTAGATTTTCACAGAAACAGAGGCAAAACTTTTGGTTTGAATGTTACTTTTTACTCAGCATATAATTTCTTTTTGGAATTAACTTCTATAGGAAGTTATGATGATGAGTAGGCTTAAAAGGATTGCTATAAGCATGAAGAGGATGAAGGGGGCAACATCATCATAACCGAACAGATAATTTAATTCCAACTGCATTCTTCCCCGTATTTTGGACAATAATTTCCCACAGGGAAATTAAGAAGAATACCATCCAACCCTGAATCTTCTAATCTTTGCAAAATCCCCTATTTAAAAAAAACCCCAAACAAAACAAGACTTGAGACTAGAAATGAAAAAACATACTATTTCCAGTAGCATTGTGTCAATTCTATTCTTCTATTCTGGCCCATATCCACCGGTTTGCAGTTAACAACAGATATTTTATTAACAGAAGGGATATTTCATGACAGATTACTCCAAGCAAACAAAACCAGCATGCTGTGAGTGCACAGCATATTCACTTCTGTATGTACATATCACATGAGGATCTCACTCATGCAACAAGAACTGCAAGACATTTCACTGTTAAGTGAATATAACTGTTACCAAAGGCTGCAGGATTAGAGTCCAGACAGAGGCAAACTGAGGAATTTTCGCTATGTCAAACATTATATTGGAGAGATTGCATCTGAAAATGCAGATGCATTTTCATTCTTTGAAGATTGAGTTGAAAAAATAAATAGACTATTAAAACAATATTGAAAATTTCAGATGTATAATGCCAGTTTTTGTGTTTCTGACAAGCTTCCTTGCTCATAAACAAGTACTGTGAGGTGAAAAAATTACATGTTTAATTTCCAAATTTCTCAGTGTGCACATCAATGGACAATCAAGAACCCTTTAAATGGAACATCCCATAAAGATTCCCATAACTCGCTCAGTTCTCACACATTTTCACCTTACGTTGTTTTAGCACTCATGATCACAGTCCTGCTATCAATCCCACACTGACAGCCAGCACAATGACTTTCCATCAAATGTCTGCCTCTGGATTACCATCTCCGTAATAAACACTCACGTGGGTTAGACAGCACTGAGTATCAGTGTGGACCGAGCCTTGAGCATTCTCGACAGTTCAAATAATTACTACTACGATTTAAAAAAAATTTTAAAAATTTCTAAGTCGAAATTTATGCACTTTAGGTACGTGATATTGCATTACCAAATCTACTTCGGGGCCCTGAAGTATCTGCAACTTCTGAAACAGCTAACTACCACTAAGTGAAATTAACTTCATCCTCCTAAAATAAATTCTATAACTAAGATTTTAACTGTAAAGTATCACTTTTCCACACATAAATAAGATCCATGACAACCTGTAGCAATAAATTAGAAATATTATAACGCTATGATAACTTACACACAGATGGTCTATGTTACTTTTTAAAGGAAGTAACTTTCCCAGACTGAGAGAATCTGTTAATAACATTAATTATACTACCATTTGAAGGAAAATATATTTCAGAGTATTACTCACATGAATAAACCTAAAATGTAAACAGACTTGAGAGAAGTGAGTGCACCTAGTGGGCACTAACCAAGGACCTGAAATCAATGAAGCATGATGTAAAATTGACACAGTACTCACTGAAATGTTACATTTTTATTACTAGTACTCCTGCATTTTGGTGTCAAGCATGCTTAAGATTTTTCTTCCATATTAGTGTGATATTGCATAAGCCACAATCAAGACACATCTGAAACACCTACTTTTCCAGTAGAAAACCCTAATCTAGCCCCCTGAAAAAAATGAATCCTAAAGGATTCTACCAGAAAACTAAAAACTGAGATGTAACAGAACAAAAGCAAATTAAAAAAAAAATAAGAGATAAAATCTCTTTAAGAAGTCCAAGACATCACTCGTAAGCATGTCAATGTCTGTGCATGCACACACCACACAGAAGCTAAACATTATGTCACTTTAGAAAATCCTACCTGTGAAGAGATAAATAATATGACTTTTAAAATAACAAGCAAAATTATTTTAAAGTCCTACAGAAGTTCAGATACAAGCTGATTATAACACTCTATGAGAAACTAAATATGTGTTGAAAACTTAATAACAGCTTTGAGAATGGTTCCCCGCACTTTTCAAAATGAAGAGCTTTTACCTGACAAGGTTTTGGTTCCGATTACAATGTTAACATTTCCGTGTCACAATACAAATAAAATAGTGATATTTGAAGGAACTCCACAGGTTTACTGCCTAAAAATAATACTAAAAATGGTAATTTGTGTTGGTGTTGAACCTTCTAAAAAACCAGTCAAATACTCACACAAAGCCTGTTTGACAAAACAATAGCATTCTAAACTTACTTCAACAACTCCTTGCTGATAACCCATCACCATATTAACTTGAACCTGTTCCTCTAATTTAACATATGATATTTCTCCATTGGTAGAGACAAGGAACTGCTAACTATGTTTGGAAAGCATACAGTCATGGTTGGCTTTCTACGAGTGAATAAATAAAAATATTAGGCCCCAGTATCGCATTAGGAAGTATATAGTGTTCCATGTCTAACAAAGTCCTCATACTCAAAGAAGATGTTTCTCCAGACTGAGAGAGAGTCTACGCAGACTGGTGTGGACAGGTCCAAGTTCACTCAGCTTTCACGTGAAGCTTGCTGGATACGTGTTACCTCCAATCTGTGAGTTGGATCACCACATTAGCAAGCTGTCACTTCTCAGCAAACATGCTGAGAAGCAGTGTGTATGATCTCGGGCACAGCCACACAGAGCCACACTTTTCAGATACTTCGTTCATGGGCCGAGTCTGTCCACTCCCGTCTGCACAGAAGCACCGTGAGTGTTTCACCACCGGCCCAAGATCCCTCACGGTCCTGGCCACTAACCCACTATATGCCAAAAGCCTGTTCCTCTTGCAGAAGGTTGACAAGAAATCAACGGTGGAGTGAGAATCCATTGAGAAATCAAAGGTGAGGACCGAAGCAGACTATCCCTAACACACTAACCCAACACACCCAGGCTACTTCTGGAACGGATGGGAGTTAGCCGTAGCCGCTACCTGAAGGAGTGGTGATAGCAGAATTTATACGAGCGAAATTAGTAGTCCCTCTTGAGCGTAAAAAGCAGAAACTATTTTACTGCCAGAAAGTGGGAGAAGAGCCCTACTCCAGTGGGGAAAAAAACAAAACCCAAACCAAACAAATCACGAACAACGAAGATCCGAGTACGTGGGAAGGAGTCTGCAGCACGGCCCCGGCCGGCGGGACGGCACCCCGGGCACAGAGCGGCATGGCCCCGCCGGGCACCCACCGCCGCCGCTCCCGGGGAGCCCCCGGGCGGCCCGAGGCCACGCACGGCGCTGGGTGGAAGCGCGGCCCTTCCCCGCCGCCGCGCTCCGCGGGCCCAACGCCCCCGAGGCCCGGCGGCCCCGCGCCAGGCCTGGCCGGGTGGGAAAGGGGCGGGGGACCCGTCCCGCCTCCCGGCCCCCACCTTCCGCGCCCGCGGCCGTGCCGCCGCACTCACCTGCTCCTTGCGCTGCCGCGCCGCTCCCCGCCGCCTCCTCCGCCGCCGCCCGGGGCGGAGAGGGTGGGAGGGGGCGAGGGGGGGGTCCGTCCTCCCGGGCCTGAGCGCAGAGCGGCGCGGGCAGGAGGGGGAGGAGCGCGCGGAGCGGCGCGCGCCCCCGCGGACCCGCCGCTCCCGCCCCGCGCGCCGGGACAGCCGCCGAGGGACCGCCGCCGCCGCCACCGCCTCCGCGCGCCCTTCCCGGCGGCCCTCGCGCCGCCCGCGCCGCCGCCGCCGCCACCGCCGAGGGTGATGACGATGTGATGACGATGGTGATGGCGGTGACGGTGACGCCGATGACGATGGCGGCGGCGGGAAGGGCGGAAGCGGCTGTGCCGCCATCTTGGGGAGGGCGGGGGAGGCGCCTGGCTCCGCCTCAGAGGGAGGCAACGGAGATGGTGAAGGGTCTGGAGTTTGAGTGCTGTGGGGAGCCGCTGAGGGGGCTGGGAGTGATTAAGCTGGGAGAAAAGGAGACTCAGCGGGACTTATCACTCTCTACAGCTGCCTGAAAGGAGGTTGTAGCCAGGTGGGGGTCCGTCTCTTCTCCTAGGTGACAGGACAAGAGGACATGGGTTTAAACTGCGTCGTGGAGGTTTAGGTTGGACATTAGGAGGAATTTCTCCACAAAAAGGGCGATTAGACATTGTAATGAACTGTAATGAACCTCGGGGAGGTGGTGGAGTCACCATCCCTGTAGGTGTTTAAGAACAGACGGATGTGGCACTTTGCACCATGGTCTAGTTGACATGGTGGTGTTGTCCAGTCATAGGTTAGGCTGGATGATCTCAGATCTTCTCCAACCTAACCGATTTTGTAATTCTGTGATCTTCAATTAAACCAGAGCCCCATACAACATGGGGCCCCATACAACATTGCTCAGAGCCCCATACAACATGGCTTTCAGTGTTTCCAGGGATGGGACATCCACCACCTCTGTGGGCAACTTGTGCCAGTGCTGCACCGCTTGGATTGTAAAAAACTTTTTCCTTAATCTCAACCTGCCCTGTTTCAGTTTAAAACCATTGTTCCTTGTCCTGTTACCTTATAAGGGCCTTATAACATCTTATAAAGCCTAAAGGCCCGTGTTTTGCCACAAAACCCCTTGGCTGCAGGATAAATGAACTTGGCTAATTGTAGTGGAGGCGCCTGTGGGCAGCTGCCCCTTGGTGGTTTGGCCACCTGTGTGTCCTTGCCTTTATTAAAACGTGCAGCAAGTTCTCATGTGAACATCCTTTTTATTTGACAGCAGAAACGATGAGTAGGGTTGTTTTCCTGGAAGGAAATCCTTTAGTAGCTCAAATGACCGAAATGGAGGAACCTCTTCTATGAATGGAGTCTGCCCAGTAGTTGGTCAGAGGCCCATTCGAGGCTACATCACCTGGACCTCCCACTATCTGGTAGTACATCTGTGCTATTTTCCTCTTATAGAGTGCTCTCTCTATATGTGGTGCACTGAGCTACCACTGCAGGTATAGGTATATAGGTATGGTTGAAAATGACTGATGTATCCTAAAATATAGGAGGTGCAGTCATTCTTTTTTTTTTCTGCCTATGTGGAAATAATAAAGCAGCAAGCTTTTTTATTACTTTTATAACTAAGTGCAGTAATGCTGGAATAAATTATATTCAGCGTCACAAATTTTGGAGAACATGTTTAGCTATCTCTTTCACAGCAGAAAGTGCTTCTAAGCAAGTTGGCTTAATTTCTCGAGAAGGAAGCAAAAATCCATAAGTTCCCGTGTCTCGTAGCTCAAAGGTAAAAGAATATTTAATGCCAAGATCATAAGCCCAGTCGTCGGACCCTCCAGGAGCTAAATCTATGTCAGGAAGGGAAAATAGATAAATTACCTGAAGCCAGAACTTCAGTCTTCTGTTCAAAAGCTGTCTTCTGTTGCCAGCAAGGACATGCTGTAATGCCTGTCATTGCAGGAAAGTCGTACTTACAGATTGTCTGTGCCCCAGGACCAGGTCTATAAATTTCCTTTGTTGTCCTCCTTATAGCTTTAGCTGCTTTCTTTGCCAGACTGTCCTGAAATTAAAGAAAACATTATTAGCTTTAAGGCCTTGTGATAATAGTTAGTATGTATTGAGTTAGAATTTATTTACACTGTGCTCTGGATCTTGCATTAGTTAAATACTTTTATAAAAAGTTCTAGAAAACCCACACAATGTGTAAAAATTTTCAGCATATGCCCATGCTGCAGATTGCCTTTCTGCTGTAGACAGATGAAAAAATATAGATAGCAGTAAACTGTTGTCAAACCATTTGTTCTCATTTGTCTCAAATTTTTTCTTTTCTGCCGCAGTATTTAAGTCATTGACAATTTACGTGGTATTGACAAAAACAGCAGGAAAATATTTTAATTGAGAGAACCCTACCCTTAAACCATAAAGAAAACTTAAATGCCCAGAATTAGGGCACCTCTTTCTACTTTACAGGGAAAGAGTCACAAATGCATTATTACTGTTTACTCAAAACTTCACTTTTTAAATTGTGGTATATAAAACAGTTCATTTCAGGAAATTAATTGGTAACCAAGACATCACAGAATATATATGTTATTAGGAGTTAGTTTGTTCTATATTTACATTACTGCATTTTTTTCATGTCTCCTGAACACACTGGCCTTAGTTACCAGTGGAAATGCTATATTGGACTGTATGGGATTTTGAAGTAGGATGCTTCCAAAGAGTTAATTGTGTACTTTTTACAGTCCTCTTATATATACAACATTTCTTTTTAAAAAATAAAATGTTTTTTAAAATATTATTTTAAAAAATAAAGTATGTTAAGTGACATGGTAGATGCGGACATTGAAAAGCAGTGTTGAGATGACAGCAGTGTGTGCAAATGTCAATCCTCTATAAACTCTCCTACTGTCTGTCCTTATGTCATACATGAAATTACCTGTCAGTGTATGAAATTACCTGTCGACCAAATCCCAAAGCTGTCACCTGCTTTCTAATTGCCTTCCCATGATTTCTGCTCCTTTCTTACTTTGAGGCAGAAGCCCTTGCTGCAAATAGCAGAATTCATTGCCTCCGCACTTGGAGCTTAGGAAACACTGAAAGTGGGCTAGGAAGTACTGGAAAGGGAATCCCTTGCTCTGGGGATTTTGACATCTTTACATAAGAAGAATATAACTAAGCTGTCCACCTACTCCTATGGCTTGATTACTCTGTGTTAGCACATCCCAGTTTAGCCTGGATATTTTTTCCACATCCAGACAAACCCAGAGTTTTATCATCAGTGGGAAAAAACAGCAGCTACTTTTTCTGCTTTGAATGCAGTCTGTCTTCAGGGAGAGTTTTTACTCTATGATTTGGTGGCTCAAGAATGTAAAATTCTACATAAGCAGAGTATGTGTTCCATCCTACCATTAAGACTATCTTAAGAAGTATACCTAGCAAAAACCGTAACAAAAGTAGCAAGGGTCCACCAGAACACCTCATTGCTTAGGTATGTGAAGGGTGTTTTTCAGAGTTACACACCCAAGTAATTTCAGAATTTGTGTAAACCGTACAACATAATGAGGAATTTGCACATATATGTCTTTTCAAGGTGTCCAAAACAACATGACTCTGCTCTTTTAACAGCAGCTTCAACATATCAGGTGTTGTTGACGTGTTATCAATCTGGAATAAATATTTTCATTTTTCCATAGTCTTCAGAAGCAGATTGCTGACTTACGCACTACTAGACTAGCCCAGACTAATTTGTTAAGAGCATCAAGAAAAATCTCGTTTTCTAATTCTTGATCCTCAGAAAACTGTGACTTCCTCACTACAAGGCTAACCAAGCAGGGTAAGTAGTTCTGAAATAATGTGAAACTTCAGGAGCTGGGAAGACTTACCAGCTCGTCATGGTCTTTGCTTCTGTTCGTAGTGTAAGAATATGGAAACAATACCAACTGGGAGTAAGAGTGCATGGTTATGTAGGCTTTAATGGTGTTTTTGTGGTCTCTGACAAAGCGAGCCACTGCTTTCACTTCAGGCTCAGACTCCGGGTAGGGTCCACAGTATGTCTCCTGACATTCATAGGGAGATGCTCCTTGACCTGTAGCAAAAAAGATGCACAGTTTTACCCCTTTACTTCTTTCCTTCTTCATTTCTGTTCATCTAATAAAAGAGCAGTGTATGATGCAAATACACAAGACATCATGGATTCTGCCATGCTGTGGAAAGAACTTGCATGCTTATAGAAATCTGTGCAAACCTACTGGGATTTCTCATCTACTATGCTCTTGGAAACAGTTGGAGAAGGTAGAAAAAAAAATGTTCAAAGACTGGATAAAAAGTCTAAGAAGAGAGGAATAATATGCTTAATTTAAAATCATCACATGATTGTGAGATCACGTCTTAAAATTTAAGAGAACTACAGGAAAAGGGCGGTTCTAAGTGATTATTTAATCTTGGGGGGAAGCAAGCTCTCAATGGGGAGCTGAAGAAACACAAATCAAAATTTTTAAGAAAACGCTGGAACAAGTTATCAAGAAGACAACTAGGATTCACTACTTCTGCTGTCTTCTGAATAAGACCAAATAACTTTCTGGAAGCAGTCAGGATCTTTAGTGTATAGTGAAAAAATGCATGTTTTCCTGTAATAGCCATGGACAGTATAGCAATGGACTAAAATGACTGAAAACCATATAGAACGTTAATGTCAGCTCTGAGTGAAGCCAGATCTGATCTATAAGGTAACGTTTTAAGATAGCTATTCTACAGACTATTGAAAACTTGTTAAGTACTAAAGTGCCTGGAGTAAATAAATGCGATATAGCCTTCACAAGAAACACTAAGACCCAAAAAATCTTGGTCTGCTAGGCATTGTGGAAGGATGACTGAGGTGATCAGTTTGTACACCATGGTGGAGCACTCAACTGGATAGTGCAACAGGCCTTGGGGGACATGGCAAGGGCCATCTCTTCCCTCTTTCCTCCTTCCCACTAGCAGCCTCCACCAATGTGTCATGGTGTGATGCAAGGGGCGGGATACAGGAACCTGGATCTCTATTGTGCTGGGAAGAGGCTATTCCCTGGTTTGTCATCTGGGGAGAAAAAAATCCAGAGTCCCAATAAAAAGTATCTAAAGCTAGGAAAGTTTTCACCGGTTTGTAACACGTACTTAGCTACATTTGTCTTTATATTAACTTTGTGAAATGGTAAATGAAAACGTTTTCAAAATAAAGAATTTTAAAGGCTAAAAGTGAGGCAGGGATACAATAGGAAGAAAATTATGTCCTACCACACCAGTGCGCATCAAAATTCCGGTTCATGTCAGTACCAATGCACTTGCTGTTACCATGCTTTGAGCGGCTTTTTCTCCAGAGGCGATTCTAATGAAAGAGACACACAAGCCGTGTTCAGGAAAAAAACTGGAAAAATCAATGCACCATCTCCCTGGTTGGTTAACTGTGACTTCCCACTTGTGTTTCACAGTAATGTGCCAATGAAGGCCAAGGAAGATTCTAAAACCACAGTCTGTTTGCCAGCAAGGCTGGATGATAAAAGGAAATGTTTGGGTAGGATAAGAAGTGGTCATATCTTGTCTGATTTCAATGTAATTTGAACTGTGGAAGGAGAGGAGAAGACATACAGTTTGGCCAGGTATGTGAGTTTAAGAGTTCGCATAGGCATTGCTGCGAACACATGGAAAGTTGGAAATTTGTTGTGCAGCTGTTGAGGTGATGGTGCATAGTTATACAAGTGTGAGCCAAGCTCTGTTGGAGATTAAATGAGTAAGAGTGGAGAAGGAGATTTATTTTCTTTTATAACTTGAGTGAAGGATTTAAAAAATTGAAGAACCATCTCAACAGCTTGGGATTTCTAGCCAACAAATAAAACCCTGGACGAAAGGTACCTGTTGTACCTTCATTTATCTCAAACAAAAAGTACTCAGAGAAGAGAGCAGCCTTGCAGGAGTAAAGAGTGAGTTATTGGCTGTGCTGTAGGTGATGCAGGACACTCTCCAGCTTGTGATAGATTGTGCTGGTATTTATAACCTTGCTCCTGAAGGCTGACACAGGTGTTTCCTGACATCTGGAAGTATTAAAATACCACGATGAGATTCTGTCATTTCCAAATGCATTTCTAGCAGACTGGAAAACATAAAGGTACTGTGGAGAAAATGCCAAATAGTTGCAGTATTTGTTGTGATTTAAATGGGGCAAAGATACGGAAATTCCAAGCACGGGTTTAGAGTTTGGGGTATGCAGTTCCAGGATGAAAATGATGTTCTAAGCATGCACAGTACAATCTGTCAAAAAAGGTCTACATACAGAGGGATGGCTCCATGTGTACTCATAGCCATCCACATTTATCACAGGCATGACGTAGAAATCAAAGTGCTCCAGAAGCATTGTCATGGTTGGGTCTCTCTCACGCACATGGATTACCTATAAAGCACAGGGGAAACTTATTAAAAGCATTCATAATAGTGTTTTTCTTGCCTTCCTAGAAAGGCACCTGGTGACATGCTTAAAATAATTGTACAATTATCAGACAAGTCTGCCTCCTGATAAGGCACATCACATCACGGAAATTGCTGAATAGCAAAGCAGCTCTTTGCTTGGAACTGCCGTGGAGAGGGTAGGAATTGAATTGATACAGTCAATCAGATACACTCCAGTCCTTTAGTGTTAATAGGTGGTCATGAGATAGAATTGAAGCCTATTAATAGGAAGGTTTGAGCTTTTGCTGCTTCTATAAATAATAGGAACCCTCCCTTCCACCCAAAATACCACAAAAGTAGCACAAAGTATAGCAAGCCTGAAAATAACAAGTAACATTTCAAATGGCTTCTGTATATAACATTATTTCTCTGGTTGTGTCATGAGTTTAATGCAATCATATGACAAGAGCCAGTAAGATCTACTTTGCTAATTTTGTCTCACAGCTTATTTTGAAGGCTTTAGTGATACCTACCCTGGTTGTTGGTCCATGACGCAGGAATAAATTTTAACCTAAATAAGTGGGATTGTTACTATTAGAATAGACTAAGTCCTTAGTCATATATTTTCTTCTTTTTTTCTTTACACCTTACTTAAACCACCTTCTTTCATTTTAAATCCTTCTCGGTTTTCCTCAGGCAATGGTCTTCTTTTGTCTAAATGAGAAATGTCAATCTTTCTGCAATCTTAACGACAAAATTAAATGATAAAGAGTGGACCCATTATAAACAATGCCTAGGATTTGCTAGAGAGAGATGGTGGGTTTAATGTATGTGTGCAGATCTGTATTGATGTCAGATTTTAAAATGTTACTTCATGGAGTGATATGGAAATAAAATTTTAATTTAAAACATGTAAATTAGATCAAAGGTATGGAGAACCTAAATGTTCAGCTTGTTACTTCTGAAAATTGCTGCAGGGACGTGTCACTGGCAAAGTGACAGCACAGATGGTAATTATTTGGAGCAGCATGAAAAGGGCAAATGCATTTCTCTCAAATGGAACCTTGAAGGCTGGAATTATCAGTGTGTCACAAGGTACATTCAGCTGTATCTGTCCCTAACTCCTGTAATATCCTTTCAAATGTTATAGTTATTGAGGCTTTATAGTTGTGACTGATGACAGGAATAAATACTTCTTCTCCTTTATTATTATTATTATTATTATTATTAACATTAACATTTAGTTCCATCACAACCAGACCACAATTCATGTTCAAGGACTCATCTATGTTGTTTTTTCTAACTACAGTACTGGTGATTGTGAAGTCTCAATCTCATCTAGCTTATTTTTTCTGTGAGCTTTGCTTTTGTAAAAAAGTAACAATAAATAATATCTCAGAATATTGACTGAGCAAGATGGACAACCTTGTCTGGGCCAGAAAGGCCTTAGGAACCTTTACCTAGTTCATAACAGGAACTGGACCTGCAGCTCAGCATAAAAAGTAGAGCAGAGATGCCTTAGGTTCAACAAGACTAAGGCAATGTATGTTAAAATCCAGGTGAAAATTGTAGGTATTATATCTTTTGGTGTACCTTTGTTCACTATCCTGAGCAGTATAGATATCAAAAATATAAAGATAGATGTGACTATTGGTCTGCAGCTGCACATCAAGACTGGTCGATCTAAGACTGTTCTACAGGCTCATCCCATCAGTGATTTTCTGGTTCCCATGAACTCTGTGCGTGGCTGATGTTGTTGGTCATGTTCTGGAGGTCTGAAATGAGGGTATCTCTAGGAGGGCTGGAAGGTGGCTTGTGTGGCTTTATTCTCTGCATAAGGCAGATCCAGAAAAAAGCAGGAGCGCAAATAAAAAACGCAGAGGCAGGAGGAGCAGTAGCAGCAGGTGATGCATCACAGCAAGTGATTAGCAGAGATTGCTGGTGTGCATGCTGGTGTTGAGCTATGCCATGCCTGGAGCAGGCAAGTGTGGGGTACCTATTGCTCTAGAAGGGCATCTAGGGAGAGAGCCAAGAGTTGTAGGACAGCTTGAGCTCACCCTGGATGTCTTCCGATCCACTCCAGGCAGTGCCAGATGCAGTAATATGGACATGAATCACTGTGTGCTGCATGATCCATAGCCAAGACCATTCCTTGAATCCACATGGCAGTGAAGACTTAACCCTAGCAGATTATCAAAATGTGCTTTTGCTGGCATGGCATCTCCTTCCCTGACCATTCTTAAGTATAAATGTCTCTGTTGAATTTTCTGCACACGTTTTTTTCATACTTGAAAGTACATTTGAGCTCATTTGCATTTAATCCCTGTGACTTTGTGTCTCTCTCTCACACACACCCCCTCCTATCTACTGACACGAACACACATGCGCACACTCACTCACTGTTATGTATGCAACTTAGACACAAATGTCATGTGTTGGTGTTGTGGAAGTAAATGGATTAAGGTTTTATGGAGCTTAGAGCGCAATTGGACAAAGGTAAATGGCATCAGGATTTTTTGCTTTGCTTTGACAACAGTAATCAGATGTGATTATCTACTCACGTGGCCTATGAACCACAGGCAAAAAGCAGGAGAAATCCATTCTCTAGCATGGATACCACAGTCAATCCATATGGCACTTTTGGATTTTTCCTGGCTTTTAGAAATCTGACAAAAGAGAAATTGTATTACAATGTCACCATTGTAAAAGGTCCCACAGAAAAGTGGAAGTGAAAGGGTAAATAAGATGGAAGAAGAAGCATCTGTCTTGTAGGGAGAGCTCAGACTGATCCTGGGCCAGGACGCAGCCACCAGTTATGTTCACATACAGACAACCACATTCAGTCTGCTTGCAAGGTCCTAACATAAACACCAAGATTACAGCAAGACCTGAGGTCAAGAGAGTCTGTCATCAGCTATGCAGAGCAGCAAACTAGATTGGCTTCATAGTCAACAGAGGAGGGTATCCACTGTGCCAGTATTTCATGCCTTTGGATGATGGCCAAATGTGACCCAACAAGGAACCTGATGTCATCAAATGCATTTGCAGCAGTAATGCACCTTACTAGAACAACTCAGGAAACTTCTAAAAACCACAAAAAATATGCATTTAAGTATAGATTTAAGGAAGTGTTCTGGCCAAGCCCCATCACTTGCTTACATTATTACTTAGCAAGTTTTTGCAGTAAGTCACAGCTGTACCTTCAGGACATAAAGCGGTCTCTTTTCATATGATGATCCAATATATATTTTCTGTAGGAGATCAGAGTGGACTTTGACTACTTCTTCCATCCAACGGTATATCTGCAAGGGTGGAGTTAGTATATAGATACTCTGTTGTTTTCCTTCATCTCTGAAAGTGACTTAAATTCATTCTACCTTTCAAAATCCTGCCTCTTTACATAATGGGAAAGAAAAACGAATAATTCAGCCCACTTACTACTTGCCTGACTCTAATTTCTCTTAAAACAAACAGTAAGATACAATCACAACACTGTCCAAGTATAGGCCTGAAATTCCTCTTTAGTTCTATTTGGTTAATTATTATTCATTTCATGTTTCAAATATTTACATGTTTGTTTTTGACTTCGTTTTTCTTCTGTATTGACTGCCTTTGAATGGCAGTTTGGGACAATACATGTATGAGAGATTTTGTCTGGTGCTTATTTCTTTCTTTATGAAAGCATTGCAAGAAATAAAACTCTAAATTGTTGAGAAATACGATGATAATTATTACCTGTTGATGTTTTCTTTCCCTTTATCTCTATTCTCAATCATGACACAAATTTCACCCTTTGAATCTACAGATGTTTACAACAAAAATATCTTACTTCTTTCATTGAATGGTAGTTTTCATAATAAGAAGAAGATCTGCGTGGGTTGACTGTGTCATTGACAGTCTGTTTTTCAATAAATCCTTGAACATCTCCTATCAAGACTCTGAATAACAAAGGAAAAGCACAACCTCCTGTTAAATAAATGACAACTTTACAGAAACATTCATGACAACAAATAAAAAATACATACTTGTGTTGGATGGCCAGTTGCCTTAACTGGGCTTTTGTGCTATTTATGTTGGATGCTCTGACATAGAAATGGACTTCTCTGTCCTTCTTAATGTTTTCAGCCACAACAGGTTGCCAGAGAATGACCTACAAATTTTCCAAAAACATTTCATTTTTTTAACTGAAGAAAGAAAAAATATTCTTACTAACATTTAATAAGCATTTTGAAAATAATGAAAGCATATGTTTGCAATTTAAGAGACCCCTCGAAACGAGCAGTTTAATGTTGCCTGTGATGTGTTATAGCATTCTGCTACTGCTGGAAATGAAATGCGTGTATTTAAGAAATGTTTATAGTGACTTCTGCGCATAAATTCATAAATCAAGAACAAAGACGGGAACATAACCTTTGGTGAGATAGTATTTCTAGTATAATAGATATATTTAGCTAGTTATTATGTTACATGTTTTCAAGTCTGCTGAGAGTTATTTTCCCTGAGGGTATTTGGAGAATTAATGAAGATCAGACCAGTCTTTGTAGTTATTGTATTCTCTGATGACTTTGATCAGGGAGGAAATAAATGCCAGAAGGGCAATATAAGAAGGGAATATAAGTCAAGTTGAGGCAGCAATACAGAGATTAGACATGGGAGGAAAATAAGAAAATGAGATTCTTCTTGGTAAAATTAAATATTTTACAATAATAAAATCTGAAGCCAACATATTCGATAAAAGACTGAAACTTTAGAACTAATAATACAAAAAGATCTAAGGGTGACAGCAGAAAATTAGGCATAAAATTAGAGTGTGAAAAAAATCAGCATAACTCTTGGATCCGTTTTTATGGCATCATACAGAATGGAGTCACCAGACAATAGGGTTTATTTTGTTTCCTTCCTGGTGCAGTTGCACCGGGAATATTGTATCCAACTTAGGGCACCATGTTTCCAGGCATGTATCACCTGTCAGCTGTTGACCTCATTTCTCAGAGAGAACGTGTCTGCAAAGTCATACAGGAAACTCATCCATGTGTTTGATCAAGACTTTGGAGCAATAAATGGTAAAACATTTTGCCCCTGGATGTGTTACTGCAAGGTGCTATACAAATGGTTGAGTTAGTGTAGTCATCTGAAACATTATTGGCAGAGTAGCGGCAGCATCACATGGATCAGCATTGTTTGGAAAACCCATCCAAGAAGCAAGCTGGATGTTGCTGTCCCTGTTGCCCTGGCTAGCCTGCTGTGTGCACTGATGTGCACCAGTTCAGGTGTAGTTTCTCTTTGGCATAGACATTCTTTGAATTGAGAGTAAGGAAAACTAAGCAACTCTGGATTAACACAGCTGAGGTGGCAGAGGAGCAATGAATGGGGGTAAATGGGAAACTTTGGTAATGCATATGATTATTGTTCTCTTTACCCATCATCAGCAATGGTCAATTCTGCCCCACGGGCAGCTACAAAAGGCTCCTGTAGGTGCTCCTGTGTCTGGGTCTTCTGATGAATGCTGCATGCAATGTGTGTGCTGTAAGAACAAAGCATTTCTTTTGGCTTATGTTTTTACTTCCCAACTTTTGCAGGAGTAGCACCTATAATTAGCCTGATAATTCCTCCTGTAAGATGATAATTTTGTGTTGCTTCTTTTTTGCTAAATTGTAGACGTTGCAATTTGTTGGGAGGTATTGTTTGTGTCTTCCCTTTCCCTTTCCCTTACCCTTTCCCTTTCCTATTCCCCCCTTTCTGTTTTCCTCTATAACTTGCCCAATTTATAGCCGTGGGAAAAAAATTGCCCAATTTATAACCCATGAAAAATGTTTGTTTTGTATATTCACATAAGTGACTTGGTAGGAACCATCACATGCCCTCTCTGCACTGACTGTGGTGCGGTTGTTCTTCCTGACTTCCTGGGGCTCCTGTGAACAAGAAAGTGAAGAATTACAGTAGTAAGGAAAAGTTGGAGGAGGGGAGATTTATATTTGTACAGCAAAAGATATGGATATGTGAGTTGACTTCTGGAGATGGAAAAGAGCAAGGAAGGCTATCAAAAGGTTTTTAAGAACTTAAGGGAAGGATTAGAAGATGGTAGTAGGGACAACAGAAGACTAGTGGGATTTTGGGATGGACATAGAATGAATAGGAGCCAAGAAAGACAAAATAAGACAGGGTATTGACACCATTGAAAGCTCTCAGTCGTCTGAAACACATCCTCAATCATTCTGAAGGAATGGTTACACCTTTGTTGCAGAGTGTTGGCTTCAAACCGGTGGGAGGGTGTGATTGGGCAAATGAAGAGATGTCTCAATTTAATGAAATACTCTTTTATCTAATGAAAGACAGAAGTAAGAATAATAAAAAGTATTGTTTAAGATATTTTTATATTCTAAATGCTACTTGAAGAAAAATACCACAAAAATGCAGTCCTAATCTTCAAAGGTCTGCAAGACACATGGGTCAGGATTGCATTGGTCAAAAGTGCTGAGGTTGCCTAGCAAATGTATTTCTATTTACTGTGTGCTGGTGCTTTGCCAATTTGGCAGTGTCTTAATATACAAAATCAATTGCAGAAATATGAGCTGTGATATAATTCATTACTGTAACATTTTGGAGGGGTCTCCTCGTGTAAATCAGGAGGTAGTGGAGCAATGAAAACCAAACATTTATTGAGTTGCTGTACTAGAACAAATGAATGAAAGTGGGCTAAATCTTTCTTTTGGAGGAGAAGCAGTATTAGGGCACTTGAGGGAAAAGTTTGGCCTAGAGACCGGAGAGACAGAAGAATCTGTTTACCTCAGTCGTGTTCAGTAAATTCTGAAGGTCTTCAACTTGTTCATCTGTTTGTGGGAGAGCCCACAAAACTTCATCCCTGAAAAATAAGGGTATTTAGTAAAACACAGGTATTTGGAAAAGCTCCAGTTTATGCAAACGTAGAGAAGCAGGCTTGGCCTTTCTCATCTTCCCTGGCTTGGCTGCCATGAACTCAAAGACGATTCAAGAGTGAAGATGCTGGACCCTGTTCCAGCCTCTGCTTCTGTAAATCGGTAAAATCCATGACAGAGGTGGTACAGGGCTGTGGTAGCCAATATCTACTGCTGGATGCTGAGATTGCTACTAAAAGCTGGCACCAGCGTAACAGCCACAAGCCCCACCCCCCATAGTGCGACAGTGCTGGTGGACTTTGTTTTGTAGATGTGCATTCCTACTCTGGTCAAGTTTTTCTGATTCCCTATTTGTGTATCTCTGCCAAGTAACATTTCAGCTGGTCTGTACCACTGTCCTCCCCATCTTTGCCTGATAACTTATATTCCCTTTCTACTTGAAAACCGTGGTCCGAATGTGCTGTACATGACATGGTGCTTCCCAGCTACTCCATGCTTGATCCCACTGTTGGTGACAGAAATGGAATTCACTTTCTGGAAAGAAAAAATACCACTCTGCATTGTAAATTGAGCCTTGATCTTCAGTGCCCTGCAAACCATGTAGTTCAAAATTGCACTGGATAGATCATTAAAATAATTACTGTATGTAGAAGAAGGAGACTCCACGGAATGTCAGACCCCTATCTGCAAAAACTGTCCTGAAAAGAAAACAGGAAGGGGTCTCAAAACTAGTGTTTTCAAGCAGCAGAACGTGATTGTCACAGCTCATTGTTGTGACTGATTTCAAGCAGAAACCTGACAGCATCTGGCAAGCAGATTCAGCTTTGCTTTTAGCCAGGCTCCAAGCAATCACTGTTGTTTCTCATGCAGAACCAATATGCCAACCCTGTTTTTGCCTCCATCATCATTTGACAGAGCATCAAGAAGCAATCAGGGATAGGCAAGGTTGGCAGTTTGCCTATTTCTTTAGGTAAGTCCACTCTGAAGTCTGTGTTTGAGGCTACGTTAAAAGTGAATTTGTCTTCTCAGAGCTGGGGAAGTCTTTTCACAGGGAGACCAGAAAAGGCCTGCTGGATCTGGTTTCATCCTATGATTCCCATAACCTGAGAGTACCAAAATGAGAAAGCTGGTATGTGTTTGTACTCCACTGTTTGTTGCACAAATATTTCAGCTGGTACAATTCCTCTATAGCTCTCATAATAGGCCCTGAATACACTGAACAAGATGATTAAAATTCTGTCCTTGCACTTGTAGTCATCTTTAACATGGGGAATATTAACAGCCAAAATTGTAGTTGTTGGGTTTCTCAGTTCCTCTGCTTTGATTTGGCATTATACCCTTTCATCTGTATTCTGCCCCCCTCTTGTTAACACTCAGACAAAAGCTTTAATTACTGCCTTTATACCGATCTCAGAAACAACCCTCCACCCTCAGCTTCCTTGCCCTGCCTGCTGCACCCGTACAGCTGGACATGGTCATCTTAAACACACCTCTTTTCTTTCCCTTTCTGTTCTCACATCCTGCTTCCCTGGTTGCTCTTTGAGTTTGTCCTTAAAAGGATCCCTCTTGTTCTTCTCCAGCTTCCTGCCAGGGTTCCACTGGGCTCTGACGCTATTCCCCGTTTCTTTCTCTTCTCCTTTTTACCTCTGGGAAAATAAAAGTCCCACTGCCATCCCCACACTACAATGCTCAGGTCTTACCCTGTAACTATGACAAAGTGAGTGGGATGCATTACTGTTTAGTTTAGATGGATTTGATATCTTCACCTGAGCTAGGCACTGTCTTAATAAAGGAACAGGCATTTTGGAGTCAGGTTAAACGGAGCTAATTTAGGTGTGTGTGCAAACCTGGAATGAACTGTCACCTAAATACACGTATTTTTCTCCTCTAACTGTACAGTGAGGTGAAGTAGACTTGTTCCCATGCAGAACTATGTAGAAATCCCATACAGTCATATGAATCCCACCCAGGGGCCACACCTCATACATAGGTATAAATCTGTGCCAGCTTTCTGCAGGAATCTCGGGCTCTTCATCCCTCATCTCCATTGCATTTCTAGTTGCTAGAAAGGCTGTCAGCATCACATTACACAGGCCCACAAAAACAAGGCATCAGCATGGATGTGTCTCTCTGTCCTCATAACATGGCTTCATTTAAACCTTGCATATTCTTTCTGACTAACATCTCCAGAAGAGAGGCCTCCCTAATTGTCTTCAGCTGAATGTCTTACCCTGGCTCTAAGGGGCAGTGTCAGTAGAGGAGTGCTGCCAGCATCTTCTCCTGTTCTCCTGGACCATGTAAGATGTTCATCTGCGTGGAGCACAGATGTCTTTTTGTGGGCTCTCTCTACTCCCACCTTGCTGACTCTCAGCCTCTAGCCTTGTCCCTTTTCCTACACGTGAGGTAGGTGCCTTTCCAGTGTTATTAACTTCTCCACAAGTCTCACAATGTTGAGTATTTGTTATAGAAGTCCAAATGCGGTAATCACACTATAACCTTGCAAGGGAGGCTTTAATACATTCCTGGGAAATCCTCCGACACTAGCATTCAAATAAAAGTCAGATAGAATGCATCACCTTTAAATCTCATTGTTTTAGCCATTTTCATAACTGGGGCTGGGAGGATTAGACTCATGCTTTCCAATGGGAAATGTCATATTCTTCTGTGAGGGTCAGATGGTGTTTTATTTAAACATTAAATAAATGAACCTTCAAGTAGCACAGAGCAATACTGTTCCAGTGAATTCACCTAAAACCATATTTAAGTGTCCCCCCACTGTAATCCTCACACCTCCATAGCAATCCACAAGAAAATATGATTGCAACATAGGGGTGAAAGGTCTTCTTTTTAAGGCATGAACTTAGTGGTGTTCAGGTCTGCCACTGGCATGTGGTGCAGAGTCACAGAAGGGCTGTGAGTCGCAATTCACTAGTTTTTGTGTAGGTATTTCAGTCCTGGGAGCGGGTTATATTTAATCATAGGTTGTTCAGCTTTGCTTAATATCACCACATGAAGAACTTATACTTTTAGTTTTGCCTATTAAAAAATGTTGTACGTGCAGAAAATAAAAACATTTTGCCTGTCTTCATCTCTGACGTATGTTCTTGTGTTTTAAGAAAGCATTTGGTTTCAGGGCATTTCTGAAGTTTACCAATAGGTAACGATAAAGTGTTTCTGAAACATTGTACAAATACCAAATGGTTATTCAAAAATGATTTATGCTTGGAAAAACAATCATAAAAGCTACTTTGAAAAGAAAACAGATTGTTAGCACTTTCTGAAATGGTTTCCCTTTCTACTTCAAGAAGTAATCCATTTAAGAACTTGTTTTAAGGCAAATGAAGCAAATTATTTTTTCCCATTAAGTTTCAGAATTCCCTTTACTGATAATTCAAAAGCACTTAATGAACAGAAATGATTTGGACTGAGACCAAAAAGAATAATTTTAATATGATTAAAAACATGGGATTTATGGATGCAAAGAAGACTTAAAATAATTCCATTTCCTCCACCATCTATATGTTAAATTGAACTACATATCCAATTACAAGGGTCATAAATAAATGTCAGCCTTTGCCAAATGTTTTCTTATGCAAGTTGGAATTATTTTTCCTCAATACTTTCCCTGTCCTTCTCACCACACACTAAAAGCTCGGCACAATTAGCAGATATTTACCTTGGAAGAGTGAAGACATGCTTCTCTTGAATCCAGATAAATAGGGTAAAAAAGAGCAGGTAAAACTTCATCTTCATGGCATCCACAATTAAATGCAATTGGAAAGCAAAGGGTTCAGGACCCACATTATTGATTTTAAAAACGTTATTTAAAGAGTAGTTAAAATTTAATACTGCTTCTCACCTCAACTCCAAGCTCCTGGTGGCTAAGTCAATATGGCAGGGCTCCCTAAGGAGGTCCTGCTTGTGTTGATGTCATTCACATAAGAGAGTATAAAATACATTTTGGACATTTTCATATTGACAAGTCACTTTGTCATTTCAGTCTTTGTGTTACTTCATTGTGGCTAGAATCACAGACATAAGAAAGAACACCAAGCACAAAGCTTTTGTGAACCTCTAATATTTGTGGAAGTCCAGCAGCGTGCTCTGCATCTAGCACTCCTATAAGACATCACAGCTAAGCATGAAGCTGGGTCAGAGCAGTGGGAATGAGATTATTAAATCCAAATAGAAAAATCCTGAGCAGGTAACCTTCTTCTGCTGGTATTTGCTAGCAGAGAAAACAAGGAGCAAGTGGGACATATGTTTCTGTGGTGGTCTGATATCCACGTATTTTCCATATGTCACACTAGGTTAGCTTCTCAAGAAAAAATACAAATGACTCTTCATCTCATTATTAATTTTTGCATACCTCAAGATTTGCTTCCCATATCTGTATCCACAGTTGTCCAGACAGGACATGCTCAAAAGCTGTATGAATTTGACATGTCCAGAATAAATGATTTCCATCTATACTCTGTTCTTGAACAGTAAATCCAAACTTGACTAGGACACAGCTTATTATCATGGTCCAAGTCCTCTTCTTCCATGCACCAACATAACAGTTCCAGGCATGGCACTGTTTAGAAAACACCCCAATAGCAGCCTTACAAGGAGGAAACTTTACATCTTCAGCATCAGACCCAACCTGATGTTAGCTCTTGGCTGAGTATGTTGTACAGGTGCAGAATGAAGGAATAAAACTGGTTGTCGATTTTCAGGTTTTTCAGGTGAGTGGTCCCCAGAAACACAATATGGCTTTCTGCCAGAGGGAATTCATTCCAGAAGAGGACTGAAGAGTGAATCAATATGCACACAATGGGGTTATAGCTGTATACCTGGGTGAAAAATGCCTGGGAACAAGCCCTGGAGCTGAGGTTATGTGAACTAAATTTCATCCATCAGCATCCTCTAAAACAGCTCTGGAGTCGTCTGGATCAGAGCCAGTTCTCCAGATAGGCAGGCAATCAGGACTTTGGAACTCAAATGCAGTCCTGGCTTTTTTTTTTTTTTTTTTTTATTCGGGGGAGGGGAGGGGCAGCAGATCTGTTCTAAGAAGCCAGACAGCTAAGTTTAAGATGACAGCAGAGGTGAATCATGCTCCCCAATGAGTACCCTGGAGTTAATGTCTCTGGAAATACACCAACACTGAAAATGCCCAAACTAGAGCTGTGCAAAAATCAGATACCAAAGGGAAAGGGAAGAAAAAGGCTCATGGGAAGCTATACCACTAACACCTTACCTAGATTTTGTAGTTCCTATTTGATCTTTTCTAGATGTTGTTCAAACAAACAAAAAGTTCTGGTAGGGTACAGAGGGCATTCCCAGAAAGGGCAGTGGGCAGTGCTCTGCCATGAAGGTTGATATTTAAACCAAAGGTTCAGATACTCTTTCCTCACATAGGCAAAAGGAATCTGCCAACATAGGATAAAAGACAGGAAACTTGGTCATCCAGACCCTGTTTTTTCTGGAAATGTCTGATGCATAGATATGAAGAAAAATTTGACCTACTGAGATAGATTTAGCAGAAAGATTGAAAAGCTGATGGAGCTGGGCTGCTGGTATTGAAGGAAGTAAAAGGATCATATCTCTACATGTCTTAAAGTGATAATTAAGTGGGAGAAGGGAACACTTTCTCCTATCTATCTGAGAAGAAAGTTTTGGACAAATGGTAGGTGTAAGGTATTTTTGAATGTTGGTTGCTTTTCCAGTGGGTTCTCCAGCTTGTTGTAAAGTGACAGTTCACATGGAGTTTGAAAGCTGCTGATTTCCAACTTGCTTTTGGTATCTGGAATGCACTGGAAATATTTATTGCCAAAAAAAATGAAAAATGGGTCTTTGAGGAAACTGATGGCAATAGAGGAAATTCTGAGGGAAGGACAAATCAGAGTCTTGTGGTAGCTAAGGCTCTACAGAGGTTAAAACACAATAAACAGTAAATGTAGAATGAAAGATCTAAAAATAAACAAAAAATAAAATGGAAGGTGTGACTGGGCAGGAGGAAGAAATGTATATCCCCAGGCCTCTTGCTTGTCTGAAAGCCTCAGAGTTCTCATAACTCAAAGTAGGACACAAACCCGCTTTCTCTCAAGTGTGCGCTGGACATTGTTTATTTGGATCTGTCATCTTCCTCCTTTTTTTACCTTTCCATTAGTATTTAAACAATGCAGTCACTATCCTCCTCACCATCTCTGGTCGTTGTCCTTGGGTGACTAAATGGCAGCTTTGCACTCACTAGAGCCTCTAGCTCCATCCCAGCACCACCACCCCAGCACCAGAAGCCAAAATGTTTGAATCTGCTTGCCTAAAATGAGGTTCCTGGTCATCAAGGAGCTCCATAAATTGAGCTGATTTCCCATTGCAAAGATATCTGTGCTGTGGCACACTCCACACACAAAGGCAATTTCTATGACAGTTCTGTCTTTAAGCGGGTCAGATTTCCTTTCCTGGTCGTATCTATTTATACTGTGTTGATGTGATTTGCTCTAACGAACAACCAGATGCACACTGATTACCCCCAAATCCTTGTGAGCTGCTAAAGGAGCGTTCCAGGTGTGCCCAGCCAGAATCAGTTAAAAAACTACCAACATAATAGAATGGGGTGGGAATGTATTCAGGCACCAAATTTAAGCATTAACTGCCCTGCTTCCACCCAGCTGTTAGGGGTTATCATTTGTGCTTTGACTTATGTCAACATTCCCTTGTCTCATCCTTTAGGAAGAGAGAATCATCTTCTCTATCATTAGCCCTTCCCACTGCAGATTACTACACCTGAGCAAGCCATTTCATGCTGCTTATATAGACACTGCAGAGAAATAGGAATTTTTTGGGAGCAATTCATCTGTGACCTCTTGTAGACATCTCAGAGGGTAATGAAGCATCTGGTCTTATTCATGGCCACTGGAACTGGGGTGACTCACTTGGAGGTAGGAGGCTGTATTTGTTCCAGTGTATCCCATAGATTCTGTCTACCTCCCTCCCTTAGCTTGAACACTTCAGGTCCTTATTATGGTCATAAGCAATATGCAATGTTCCAGGCTAGCAAAGTCATAAATTAAGATTTACTTGCTCTACCTGCAGCAGTAGGTAATAATAGCCTTCAAGATTTTCTGAGAACCTGGGAAGTATTTCTGGCAAGAAAAATGCAGTCTTAAAAAAGACTGTGAAGGACAACTATAAAAACAATTGAGTTAAAAAAACATTTCATTTTGGTAATTTCAACTGTTGTTTGATTTTTCCAAGGCTTTTAAAATAATTTTATCGTGAACTAACTTGCATTTCAGTGCTCTATTTTTTAAGACTTGGAGGAAATAAGATTGAATTTAGAAACTCTTGCAAGGGGAGATTTTAGTTGAATTTGAGAAGATTTAAAATCTTCCTTTCTTGAACAAATTTATTTTTCTCTAGTTGGGAAATTCATCAAAACTGATCCTTTCCAGGAACCCTTTTTGCTTCTGCTGAGTCAGCATTCCCTGGTGAAGAGCTGCTTGATCAAAAATTCTGTCTGAGTTCAAAGGTTTTCCTGCACAGGGATTAATTATTCCTTCTCCACTGGGTAGACCATGGGCTATGGTGGCCTGGTACTTGCAAGTGTTACCACAGCAGATGTGACCAGAAGCCTTGCAGTAATGGGAAACGGTTCCATTTGTGTTGGTTTCTGTTAACTTTTAGTGTAGCTTTGGGAAATGCATAGGCTTTTATTTAAAAAGGATGAGCAGGTCTTAGCTTTCAGAGCAGATAGTAAACACAGTATTCTCTTGATTTCTTGGTTGAAATTATGCATCTGGGAATTAGGACTGGCAGTATATGTAGCCTTCTGATGCCATTATTATATTGTTTTTTAAAATATAATCACTCTTGAAAAGCAATTCTAAAGAGATTTTTTTCACTCTTTTGGCTGGATGCTGTCTCTCCTCTCCCTCTGCACATTCACATGTAACACCAGTGTCCCCTGGACACAGCATGCCAGACCAGGCTCTGGCACATCTTTTTGTGGTGGCTTAAGATGTCAGTGCTCAAAAAGGTGGCAGCAGAAGGCCAGGCACCTGTGTCCCTGCTAAGCCAGGATATCTATCATTGCTCAAGCACCCTCTGCATCAGCATATGCTGAGATGCTGGGCTGTGCCTGGCTGTCATTCTGGGCTCCTGCAGCTGCTCTTTCTGGGGAAAAAGCACCAGAGCTCAGAAAGCTGTTATGTGAAACATATAAAGCAGAAACTTCTTGAACTGCTGCAGCCAGATGGTCTCAAGCAGTTGGAGCACTGCCATTGAGTAATCTCAGTGACTCCTATTAGTGGCACCTTTGGTTTTCAGCAACTAAGCATCACAGGATTTCCTTTAAACTCAACCAGGACCTAAATGTGGCTATCTTCTTTGATCCTGGGGCTTACACAGTTTCCAGCAGCAAGATTTTAAACAACAAGTCACATCCTGCATGAAGATTCTCAGATCTGAGTCTGTATTTCAGCGTGTGCTAAAGCACATGCTAGGTTGCTGCTGTCTCTTTGTAATAGTAAACCTGTTAACAAGCATACAGAAGGGGCAGAAGGAGGGGAGGTCAGATGTTATCAGCAGTCACATCCCTCAGAGCCTTTTCCTTGTTTGGGATTAGAATGGTCTGTTATTGTTTTGATCCTCCAGAATCCTCTCGTTTCCAGCTGATCAGGGAGTCCTTTCAGGGATGGGTAATCATGCTGATGCATCCATGGGACTGAAGCAGAACACAGAAGCCAAGTGAGTCTGTGCTGTCCTTCTTGC